TTATGTACTTACAAGTGTAGATACAAGGTTCTATATATCGTTGAGAGGATAGGGAAAAGGTATGGAGAGACACATGCAAGTTGGTTGAGAGTATGGCGGCCGACTATAGTAGATGGTATGCGATCGATGTGAGAGAGCGTTGGATCTGATTGGCGGGGCTGCGGGGGCGGAACGCAATGTGGCCAATCAGCGTTGGTGGCCTCAATAGTGACTACAAAATCACTGATTTTTACACGTTTTCTGTTTCCTTCTTTTTTTCAACTAAATCTTCTTGTCGGTTTTTTTTTCATCCATTGTGTAAAAAATCGCACATTTTATATCATTTCAGCCACTTTTTCTCTTGCTAAAACACAACCGATTACCGATTTTTCTTCATTCAACCGATTTAGTCTATGGACGGTATTTAAACAATTTTCTTCTACAACTTTATTATTCAATAAAAACTTTGAAACTCGAAAGAATTTTAAGCAAGTTTCTTTAATTTGTTTTGTTTCTATAAACAAATTGAGCACGAAATGTACAGTAATTAAAGAAGAATGAGGAATAAATCATCCAATGAAAGTTTCATTTGATTGTTCAATTCATTCAACGTTTACATTAATTTTAAATGAAAAATTTTTTTTATGCAACAAAATAAAATTTTGTCATACAACTTTTATGACATTTCTTTAATTAAAAACAAAGTGTCATTTTAATTTAATATTATAGATATGTTCTGTAAAAGCTCTTAGAAATGTTGTTAATGTTTTACATGTCACAAAGTAAATTTTTAATTCAGCAAATAGAGAAAAATTTTGTTTTATTAAAAGAAAAATCTAATTAAATGTTTAATAAAAGTGGAAAATATTATTAAAAATTTTATAAGATAAAACAGAATAAAAAAGAATTGAAAAATCATGTGATATATAAGTGGAGTAAAAGCACGTGGCATTTGCAAATCAGAATGTTACATTAAAAAATTTCATAAATTCCTTTTAGCTGGGCTCTTACATACTTCTCGTCTTTCTAGTCATGACTTGTGTTTTTCTCGTGAAATAGTAATGCATCAGACTCCAATATAAATCCGTCGGTCTGTATATACAAGTACTGCAACAACTACTTGGTAGTTTCTAGTTTCCATGATCTACCCGTTACCTATCAAAAATTCAATTTATTTTCACTAAAACAATTCACGTTTTTTTCGTACAATGGTAGTAATTAACAATAACAAAGGAAAATAAATTCATGATTGATTAAATGAGTTTTTTTTTTTTGGAGTATATTATATCTATCTTATTGGAATTATATGTCTAGCCAAGATTATTCTTAGCCCAATAACCGATTAATGAATAAATCAAGAAATTCGGAGATAATAATTTTAAATCAATCAATTACTTAATCAAGAGTTGAATGAACTTAGAAAATCTTTGGTGAAAACAAAAATATTTTTCTTCGATCTTTCAAGCATATCGTGTTTTCCTGGTATCTCACTTTTATCACCATGTATGTTCAATAGATGAAGTCATGTTGCGTGGAAAAAATAGACATTTGAAATTCAATAAACAAATATAAGACTAATTATGTCGAATATGAATAATCAATGAATATTTAATAAATGTCAGCTTTTATGTCCTTCATAATAATTTGAGAGTGCTATTATCCATTAGCTTCATTATATCAAATAACTGTTTAATTAATTTATTTTCTATAGGATTGAGAGTAGAGTTCTATTGATGAATATTTAATAAAGCAATGAATTCAATTAATTAATCTCAAAGACATTTAGGAATTTGATTAAATTTCTTTATGCTCCAGAAATATTGCATCAAGAAAAGTTGAAATTTTTGTCTTAAATATTCATCTGATCTTTTTTTTTTCCTTGAATCGTACAAATCTCGCGAGAGAATGAGAAGAAGAAAAGTAACTGGGAGAAGTTTTCATGAGTAAGAAGAGTGCAAACTTTCACTGATAATTACCTAGATTTACGGGCGTCGTGCGAGTCAAAGTGTGAAGTCGTGTTCAGGGTCCCCTGCACTTTACACACTTCTCTTTCCAATTCAGTTTACTCTATCTTTTTTCTGTTGCCATTTATTTAGCTATCAGTCTTTCTTTCTTTCTCTTTTTGCCTCAATCTCACCTCCTACCATCACTATCACGTTAATAACAAATGAAGTCCCAGCCTGTTTCCTCGCACTTTTGTTATAATCGAAGAAACTTCTCTTTATCGTCACTGTCAACCCGTTTATATTATTCAACAGATTCGTTTAAAGAAGTTTGAACACCTGTCGAGTCTCGGCTACGCGCCACTGGATTCTCTTGTGTGTATCATGGATAACTACTTTAACTCTTTCAAATTAACTTGAGAAAAATTATTATTTTTTTTTAAATGATCTAACAGCTTCTTAGAAAATAACTTTAGTTCGTTTGTTTATTTTTGTTCGTGAACTTTATAGTCTTAAGCACTCTAATTTCAATTAAAAATTTATTCTTTGCAATGAGTTTTCTTTTAAAAAACGTCATTATAGAATGGTTTATAGTTCTAGGGCATTGGAAGCACATGAAACTCGAAGCAGTCTAATATGAAAATTTGCAATATCGTTTTTAGTTTAAAATATTAAAAATTATTACCATTAGATTATTGTCATTCATTTCCGAGAAATGTATGCCTTCGATTTTTAATCATGTAGAGATAAAGAATGGAAGCCTCAAGATGGCCCTGCAAAAAAAAAATTCTAATCAGAATAGTTAATTTCAAAATATAATTAAAAATTATTATTCCACATTGAGAACAAAATTTAAAGTCAAACAAAATAATTCTACTTTCAGATCTCTAAAAATAATTCAAAAAAAAATTTTGTTCTTTAAATTTTATCATTTATATTTACAAATTATAAAAAAATTTATTCTTTAAAATTTTTCACTTATTATTAAAAATTTGCTTAAGTAAATTTATTTTATCATAAACTTTTTCAAAAATTTTATAAAACTGTGACAGCTAATATTTTTTCAGACATTCAGACAAGAATAAACTCAAACTGAGAAGTAACAGAAAAGTATGGATTTTCTTATATTCTTGAGTAAATATTCCGTAGCAGAACAAATATATATGTGCACATAGATACATGGATAATACAAAGTCGATGCAATTTCTCATATTGCATACGAGTATAGAATTCAATCAATGTTCACCGACGGTTGGTTAATCGGTCACGTACGTCAAGAAATAGAGAGAATCATATATGTAGTACGTACAAAAGTAAAAAGAACGTGGCGTGAACAACTGAAATAAAATACAGTTGCTGACTATACGATGAAATTATAAAGCATATGTTTAACTTTCACTGGTTAATATCAACAAGGTTACATTCGATACAAGAAGACAAATATCACTAATGATTCAATGAAACAATACAATATGGATGATGTATTATAGTAATTAAGCTAGCATGCCACATGCCATATTATTACTCTCGTAGTAGTAATCTCTTTCAAAACATTAAAATGTTTCTTTCACAACATTTATTATTTTATTAAATATTTTCCACTTAATAAAATTATTTTTCAAGTGTTTCATAATTAATTAATTCATTATGTTTCATTAGACACTTGAAGTGTTTAATTTTTAAGTAATCGTTAAACATTTGGATTTGCAATTAGTAAAGTAATTTTGATTAAAAAAAAAAAAACAATGAACTAATGTCGAAGTTTTCAATAAAAACGATTAGAGCAATAATGAAAAATCGAAAATTGACACAAAAAGATTTTTTTTTTTTACTGAACTATTCTTTCTTTGCTGACTTTTTCCATTTTTACTTTACTAGGTCAAACTTGATTGGATGATCCATAGTGAGTAATTTTTTGCGACGCGAAAAGCGCAGTCAGACATCGAGGATGTTGGAATTAAATTAACGAATCCGATATAAATGCGATTCCTAAAGTAACTAGTTTAATTGGAAATACTGTCGCGACGTCGTGTGTCCTGATTCTGTCGATCTTTTGATTATTATATTCATTTTAAATTCATATACACATTTATTTATATACTTATACATATATAATAGATTCGATCTTTTTTATTATTCAATATGAATAAATGTGTTATAATAGTTTTATGTCAACATATAAAATCAATTTCACTGTACATATCAATTTATATATATATATTTCATCGTACAGTCTCGACAATTTGCTAATTCATTTAACTTCATTTCCGGACATAAATGTTTTAATGATTCATAAGTATTACATTTTATTTAATATTTGTTTACAAACTTTAGCATTCATTTCCTTATTTTATTCGAAATCGATATTTTGTTTTTCAATGCATTAAAAAAAAATAGAACAGCTTTAATTCACAAATACCTATGAGATTTCGTATGATAAAAAATATTAATATTCATAAGTATTTATTCAAGAATAACCATCATTGTTAATAAAATATCAAATAGACGTATGCTTGTGAATGATCGACAAGCAGGTCATCACAATTCACTTGCACCCCATTTTAGTTCAGTGTAGCTATAATTATCTTTATTGACCGACACATTTGTTTACAACCTATGGTGCAGATGTCCAAATCAAAGAAGAAATTATTTTTTTTTTTCCGGTTAATAATCAGAATTCACTGCAATCGATCATATGATACAATTGATATTTTCATTAACGTAATAAACAATGACAGTAATGTTTTTTTAACCTTAATCTATGTTTACAACAGGATGTGAATAGGAGTTATTTGCCTAAACATAATTTAACTATTGATCCAAAATCTGAACAACAATAATATTGACTGTCAACTTAAATTAGAGCTTATGTAAAGGTTACCGTGTTCTATTCATACTTTATTCCATTCCCAAGTCATTTTTCTTACATTAAATGTCATCTTAAATAACATTACATCACTCTTAAAAATTACAATGGAAAATAAAAGTATTTAAATCGTCATGAAGTTCTTGAATCAAATATTAAAATACGTTTTTGAATATTTAGAATTTTTAATGTAAATAATTATATTTTTTCAGAGTCGAATACTTGACGATGCCTCCATAATGTGCAATTCATGGTCGCCAAGGCATAACGTAAGTAAAAAAAATTGTTTAATAAAATTTCATAGAATCATAAAATAAATTAATGACTTGTATTACAATAACAGAAATAAATAATTATCATCCAGAAGTCCAGAATAGTTGCATTTACAGTAACAAAAACAAATCATATTAAGCACCCAGATCAGTTATTAAAAATTTTGTCTTCACATTTTCGAAATGAAGATAAATAAAAAAGAAAATTTAAAATTGCTATTCAACTCTTGTTATCATATTTTCTGTAAATTTTTTTGAAAACTCGTTTAACGAGAGGTGATTTTGAAGCTCTTGGCTCACAGACGACTCGAAAATGGTAGCTTTGGAGCTAAAAACCCAGCTTAAGAACAAAAAAAAAAACTACCGTATAAGAGAAAAAATATTGGATACATATGTACGTGTACATAAGAAGAGCAAAAGGTTCTTGTGAGCTTTAATACATGTACGAAATGCGCTTTCTACCGTAACATCCATGTTTTACGAAACCAGCACGTAGTTACTGCAGTGTGACCGGCATAAACTGACTAACTCGTGGTTACGATTATGGTCAGAGGTAAATTGATTATTTAGATATACGATAAGACAGTTTACTAGGATGGTTTGTAAGCCGTAAAAACACTCTGAGTGTCAGTTTTGTGTCTTTTCTGTATTACTTGGACACATCTGCTGAGCTACTGCACAACTACATACTTTTAAACATCGACAAATTTACCCTAAAATTTTCGTTAGTTCAATTAACTCCTGAATTTTTGACTTTTTCACGAGTTTTACCAATTAAACTCGTTTTTTCTAGCTTATTTCCCAAAGTTACCGTATTTTTATTGACATCATAATTATTTCTACTCTCAAACTAAGTATGTTTGTCAATCAACAACAAACCAACCTATCTTTTTTATGTTTTCTTGTTTCCAAATGAAAGCTTACTTTAATTTTGTGACAATTATTTTCATTTAATTATTCTTATCTTTTTTATTCTTCATTTTTTTCAATATATAAACACACAGAAAAAATAAACATGAAATAAAATCCAATAAACTAATTATATTACATCAAACTCGTGAATGTCTGTACAAAAATTAATTAATCAAATTTAGAGAAACTTTTTGACTGAAATAATCGATAAAACTTGTGGTTATTAGAGTAAGAGCTGTTGTCTGGATGTCTGAATCTTTTTTTAATTTCTCTATAAAATTTATTCACGTCTTTCAATATTAAAATATGTATAATCGAACAGTCTCGGGTCAATTTAAAATTATCTTTAACTTATTTGAATACCTAAAACCGTGTCATTATACCATTGTATCTTTTTTTTTATCTTTAATATTTTATTGGTTTCCTTTTTCCTTTTGTTATAATTTTTTTTATTCATTTCTACGTTCTTTCACGTCCTTAGACATTAGCCACTACGACATGCAGTCTGTTCATTTTGATGTCATCTGTCACATTTTCCAGATTACTTTATCATTTATTCATCATTCAGACTATCATATGATCGTCGTCGACCAAGAAAGTATCCTTGATAACATACTTGATGTTCCTTATATTCCAATACGATTATCCTATTTGCAAGGCTTACGCATATATTTAAATTTTTATTAGTATCAAGTAAAATTGACGTAAAGAATAAGTTCAGGGTTATTGAATCTATCATGGATAAAGAGATATGCTAAATATATTAAATTCATAGTATAATAAAAATCATGGTACTTTCCCCTGTAATCAAATTGCAAACTATATCTTCCGATAAAATTTTTAGATTGAATAAGTAAAGAATATGATTTAGTTGATTCATTTTTTACAATTTCTATTTGTAGACTGAGTGTGATTATATAATATAAATTTATCATACATAAAATTAAGAAAGAAAAAAAATTCATTGCATTCTTCTAATTTTTTTTTTTTTTGAAGAAAGTAACAATTTATATCTAATTGAACGATTTTTTTTATCAAATCCTTCAGGAGATAAATAAGAAAAGAATATTAAAATGAAACTAGTTTAATGGGAAATTCAATTATAAGTAATTCATATCGATTTACAGTGTTAATATTTATAGAACATACTTTAAACTCTAAACTTAACAAAAATGTTCTGATTTGTAAAGCTGTGAAATGAATGTGTCTTCAATTCCCCATTATTTATATCTATTACTGCTTAATTACCATAATATTTCAACAGTCTAATTTTTCTCAACTCTCACATTTTTTTTTCATTCATTGGAGAGTAAATAAGGTAATAAATAATCCCAGTAAACTGCGGTAGATAATTCAATTGTAATTGGCTAATTCTTAACAACAAGACTCTCTCGGGGTGAAGAAGCATGAAGATCCAAACGAAAATACGTCGGGGAAAAATGACTCTATTAGCCTTACACGTGGGGAGAGATCAAGTTGAATGCTTAAGGGTGAGAGATGAAAAGAGCAATAGAGAAACACAGCAACAAGTCTGTTAAACAAGACTGTTAGACTGTTAACTACAACTTCTAATACTGGTCATTTGTATCCAACTCAACTGATATTTGTTTTCGACTCTTCTTATCTGCAAAGTTAATTTTTGCTACAAAAATACTATTTATCTTTATCACTGAGTCGTTAAGATTCGTTATCGATACGTTAACGATATTTTTTTAGTTCAGCAATTTTTTTGTTGAAACAAAAAAAATTAAATAACATTCTATAAATAATTATCTCTTCCTTAAATATTGATTTATAATGTTTTCATTCAAATTTTTTGTTTGTGTATCAATTTTAGATAAATTTTTGTCATAAAAGATAAGAATTAAATATATTAAATCTTCTTAAAAGATAATAAAATTGTTAAAATTTAAAAAAAATTTCAATTATTATAAAATTCGAAATTTTTATATTTTTCATAAACGAATTAAAGTTTATAAAAAGTAAATTATTCTTTATACATCTTCTTCATCTCTACACTTTATCTTTTCATTTTTTGCATACAGAATATTTGTAGAATAAAATATAATAATAATTTTCTAACAGTAATATAATTTTTCTAGAGTGGAAAATATGACAATTTGATTTTTTTTTTATTTATTTATAAGTATCATTTATTATTTTATATTTAAATAAAAATTGTTTTAATTATCAACAATTAATTTTTCGAAATAAGAACGAAAGATAATTTGAATAAAAAAGTAAATATATCATCCATTAATATTTCATTTTTTCCAATGAAAATAAATACAGAAAAATCAATTTCTTTAAATGTATTTTCTTCACCTTGAATATTTATTGCTTTATATTTATATAATGGATTCAAAGTAACACTAATAATAGAAGTGAAGTAATAAAAAATTAATACACAATTACTGTGATTTTCATTAAAACTGCATAAATATGTCAGTTTCAAATAAAATAAATGATTAAATAATTTCAAGGGTTGCATAATCATCGGATTATTTATATTTAATTAAATAGAGAAATCAAATTGAAAAAAGGTGTAGAGTATATGTCGAGAAACTAGATAAAGAATAGGTAAGAATGAAGAAAATAAAGAAAAGAAGAATTCATAAATAATCTAAACCTCTTGGGTATACCAGTGCTTTTCACATAAAACATTGATCGTTCTACATAGATGTTACAGACTGTAATGAATATATCGCTGTTATAGCACTTCATATGCAATGAATTTAATTCTTTTAGATTCAACCACATACTTTTGATTTGTGTATGATTAAAAATAATAATAGGATAATTGTAGTCATCAGTTTATACATCAACGACAGTGAATGACAAGAGATTAACATCTTTTTCCCCTTATTACATATTTATTCTTCATTAATATTTTTTTCTCAACGATTGATAGTATTTTTTGAGCCGAAACAAATAGATACTTTTAAATAATATTCTTAAGAGATTGTAATTGGCAAAAAATAAGCTCTATAATTTAATATAAACAGATTTAACACTGTTATACCTCAATAAGTTTAATTATTAATCATATAAATATCAATAGCTAATTGAATTGTATATGTTATTAATAATGTACTAAGTATAATATACTCAATAATTAATCATCAAGTTTTACCTGTGTTTCAGGGTGATTTATTTGGTGGCTTGAATAGTGGACTTCAGGATGGATTGCTTTCACGAGCAGAAGCTTTAGCTGCAGATCTTGGGAAGCACAATGCTGGCACACCAATGCCATTAAAGCATGATCCTGTATCTGTTTACCACCATGGAGCTCATATGCCTAGTCCACATCCCAATAATCGGCCGCACCATCAGGTACAATCACACCTGTTTGTGAGTTTAAATTGATCAATTATTTCCTTAGGCATGATTTAGTATTTAACATTAGCTGAGTTAATTGATCACTATTAAAATTAATTATTGATACATACTCTAAAGACTTGTCGTTGCATGATTAAATGAAAAATTACTTTCAATAAAAAAATTTTTTAAACAATAAATATATTTAATTTCGTGTATTTAGATACTTTTGTTAGAATTAATCATTTTTTCCAAATTAAATATGGCATGCATCCATTCAATTCAATTTGATTCAAAACTAATTCTACTCAGGAATTATAAAAAACGTCATTTATGAATATTAAAATAAATAGATAGATGTTTAATACATTTTTGTAACTGTTAGAAAGCTATAATACATTAAATATTAATTATAATATAATAAACTTCAGTGATATATCAACTGCTTTTTGTCATACAATAAATACTTTTCAACTGCAACTGTAAGTCTGCTTGTAGTTAATAAGTAGATTTAACTCGAGCTTATTTTTAAATGAACATCAACTTTGATCAAATATGCTAATGGATCCATTGAGATAATATATCAAAAAATAATATTAAAAAAAATAATTTATCCTTTATTTTATTGTGATAGAAAAAAAAGGAAATGAAAGTAATCGTTGATAATTAATTTAATGTTAGAAAATGAACCGATCAAAAAGAACAGTCATCACATGTTCCATCAAACTTATGCTAAGCTAAGAGTTGACTTGTGAACAGGTTCGTGGGTGCGTTAACCATGCATTAAATTCTCTCTGCATGATATTACTACCCTAGTATGTTTCTACGACCCTTAAACGAGTGTAGCTGAACCCTCTCACTGTAATTTCATGCAGTCGAATCCAGCGGGACAAATATAACTCTTCGGTTAGTCTATTTACCACCCTGAGTTTATATATTTTCACCTCGCAGATGGCCAGAGAGTTAAATGTCGCATAAACTCTGTTTTAATGTCGAAATGCTGACGAATTCAATAACCTAACGATAGACGTAGCGAGTGACATGAGTTTAGGGATTCCAGTAACGAGTTTTGATACTTCGATTCATGACTGCTGGGGACATGATGAAGGATCGACACAGAAAACCAAGAATTGGGCAAAAGAAGGATAGAATGTACACCCTAACCCTATCAAATAGTGTCAGAATAATGATGAAATATTGTGTGGGTTTTTCCCATAGGTCCAAACACTAGTTCTACTTTCTTTTACTTTCTCACTCTTTTGCCTTCAACTACTAATATTAAACCACTCTGACCGGTCATGTTTTCCACTATATTGCTCACCCCAGGCTCAATTCGATTCATATTGTGCCATTTGGACTGAAGAAAACATCAAGGGCTTGACTTGCCAAATATTTTGGGGTTGTCATTTTTTTTTGTCAGTAAGAGATAGATTTAATTTCGATTAAAGAACCTTGAACCAAATAAATTGCTTGTAATTCAATCAATTAAATTAATCAATTATTTTTTTATTCATTTATTAACTTTAACTCTAGAGTGTTGGAAAAAGAATTCTAATTATTATAAAACGTAATTAAATAAAGTGTAAATTTTTATCACAAAAAAGATGAACACTTGTTAGGAGATTCATTATTGAGAAGTAATGTAGAAGAGAGCAGAAAATAATTGAGTTGATTTATAAAATGAAAGTGTGAATTCTTATCACGACTCTAACATCAAAGTGTTCCATTTTGCCAGTTGGCGGGTTTAAAAATATTAGGAGAGCTCATAAATAATTTGTAAAGGGGGTTTGCGTACTACCTACGGTCACGGCACGTGCCTCACACTGAAGTATAATTGTGTGCACTTCTCTGCTATGACGTTGCTTCCTACATATATAACAGCTCGTATGTCTTTACATATTTCAAGCTTTTTTCATTATTATTTCATGTCTCCTGTTAGACCTTATCAACTTTATCAACTGAGGAATTCAATATTTGTGCTTTTTACATTTTTTACCATCCTTTTAAACACTTCTATAAACAAACAGGTATAGATGGTGAAGAGAGATTGGAAATAATAAAATAGACTAATCAGATAATAAAACACTGTCGCGATTGTTGAGCAAGTTAATATCTCTTATTCTACTGTTTCCCCTCTCAATACGAAAATTGGCGCGTGCCATTGATAGAGGGGGGCCAAGGGTCATGGGGATTGGGAGAAAAGGCTAGTCGAATTCACTCATGTTTTTAGACTTACAATTAGTATCATACTAATCCGAAGGGAATAACATTTCAATTATATAATCAAATTCGTCTCTTACACATGAAAGCATGACAATTTTCCCGGATATACTTGATAATCAAGTTTAGCAAATAATAGACATTCATTTGAGAATAGAGGAAGTTGATATATTCTTGGTGAATATTGCGATTGAATAAAAATAGAAATCTTTAAGTGCTTTGCATCAATCAGCATCTATTAATAAGATACTTTTATAATAAGGTACTGAAGGAATTATTTTTAGATGAAGTTTACAGAAATATTGACGAATGCTTTTTTTGTAATAAATATTATTGAATAAAAATAGTAAATCAAGCAAGTTCATAATTAATTTTAAGAGTAAGAAACAAAATGATTGTCAGCTTTTTATTATTGAAAGTTACTCTTTGAAAAGTCGAATAAATAATGATTAATTTTTAATTAAAATGAAAAAAATTACCTTGACTTAGAATGAATCAGGAATATTTTCAAATGATGAAAAAATGTCCACATGTTCGATGATGAATTTAGATGCTTTAGAATTACGTTTAATAATGAGGTAATTTTTGGTATCCACCATTTTTTTTAATCTTAAACTTCGTTTGAGTTTGGAAATACTATTTATTCTGCTAAAAAAAATTCTAATGAGATAAAGACATTTTCAAATGAAAATTTATTTTAATACTTACAGATGAGTCATCCAGGGATGGAGAGTCTGGATATGTTGGATCCAGCCAATTCCATGACGACGTTAACTCCAATGTCTGAAGGAGGTGGAGGTGGAGGAGGAGCACCAGGTCATCACGGTGGTATCCATGGGCCATCAGTTTACGGTGGAATGAATGGTATGATGAGCCATCATCATCATGCAAATATTGCAGGAAGTGTTCCTCATCCCCATCACCACCCAGCAATGGCTGCGGCTGCTGCGGCTGCAGCTGCAGCTGGACTTCATCCGGATGCTGACACAGACCCTCGTGAGCTCGAAGCTTTTGCTGAGAGGTTTAAGCAGAGACGCATCAAACTTGGAGTAACCCAAGCGGATGTGGGGAAAGCATTGGCAAATCTGAAGCTACCAGGTGTAGGAGCATTATCCCAATCGACGATATGTCGTTTTGAATCTCTTACTCTTTCACATAACAACATGATCGCGTTGAAACCTATTCTTCAAGCATGGTTAGAAGAAGCTGAAGCACAAGCTAAAAATAAAAGACGTGATCCAGATGCTCCATCGGTTTTACCTGCTGGAGAAAAAAAACGAAAACGTACAAGTATTGCTGCACCGGAAAAACGCTCATTGGAAGCGTTTTTTGCAGTGCAACCACGACCTTCAGGTGAAAAAATAGCAGCGATTGCTGAGAAGCTTGATTTGAAGAAAAATGTTGTGAGGGTTTGGTTTTGTAATCAACGGCAAAAGCAAAAACGTATGAAATTTGCCGCTCAACATTGACCAGAGAGCAGCTTGTGACAACAAAACTGACTATACCCTCCACCACCTTCGACCACCAATCTGGAGCCAAAACCTGAGCCTCTCAATGAGTATCAAGGATGGCCATAGGTGAAACATTAATAGTCGAATGATCTGGTGGTGGTGGTGGTAAATGAGATTGTTGTCGCAGCCTCAAATCGTTTAATTGTAATAAAATAATTGATCAAGAAATATCATAAGAAGACAGCTTAAAAAATCTTGATTTAGAGTTAGAAAATGAAACTTGAATGCTCTTAGTGAACAATTCAGTGCAGAGTTGATGAAAGAAAGTGATTATTTTGAAAGACAATTGTTGATAAAGATTTAAGTAAAAGTAATAATTGATAATTAATGAATTAATTAATAATAATAAGTAAAATAAAATAGTTTGAGAAGAGAGAGATGATAGTTTCCTCCCTCCGTCTGTCTTGCCTTTCACTCTCTCTCTCTCTCTTTTATTTTATTCTTCATCTCCATTTCTCCCTCTCGTTTTCTTTACATCATTCTTCTCCCAATGCAGGAAAACACTCGCGGTCAAATCGATCAAACATATAACCCACTTACTCGTCCATAGAGTCATTTTATACACAAACGACAGACAGGTTGGGTTAACTAAAATACAAAGCTCGATGAGCAAAATAAAAGCTCACTATCCCTTTCCCATCATAACTACCGGAAGTTACAGAAAAATGTATCTCCAAGTTAAAATAAAAAAAAAACTGATAAAAAAATAGAATAAACGCGCATTACAGACTGACAGAAATATTATTCCCACGCTCTTTTCTTTGCTTTATAAACTCTAAACCTTTGGAAAAAAAACAGACGGATGTACGAGGAAGCATTTATATATGTATTTTGCATATATATATAGATATATACATAAACGTAAAATTACACATTAATATTAACAATCATTTGGAAAAAAGTACAACTGAAAAAAAAATAAAGAGAGTGGAGGAAAATAACCTTTGGAAAATAAGGAAGTTTGAAAATTTTAATAAAAATAAAAGAAAATGAAAATTAAAAATTTAAACAATATGTATTTGTTATATTAGACTAGAAGCGTGATGAAAAATTATTTCCGCATAAAAAGTGATATTCATTATAATAATAAACGGTATTGGATAAAATTAGTGATGATTAATTGATTATGAAAGAAATAAAGGTATGCGAGAACAAACGTTGGAGATGATACTGGAAATGAAAGTGATGGAATAAAAACAAATAAAACTATAAAGACAAGTGTTATCTAGTGATGCTGGACAATCAGTGACAAGACTGTATTATACAAACATTATCAGAGCAATATTATTACTTAATTGTTAATCATTAAATTTAAATACATCGATAAAAATATCATCAACGAATATCTATCATCATTTCAATGCATCAAAAATTATTGTTTATAATTTACAGCAAAACGAATACAATCAGTGATTCATTTTATTTATTTTTAATTTAAGTTCCTCAACTATTCTGATTGTCTTTATATGTAAAAAAAACAAAAGAAGATGAGAGGGAGGATAAACGTAAATCGTACGAAACTAAGTACGAAAGTCACATTGATATTATGTGAGATAAAACAACTTTATGAGATTAAAAATAAAATAAAATTAATTAATTTAATTGATACAATGCAAGATAATTTATCTGTAAGCTGTACAAATTTAATAGATAAGTAATTTTCTAGCGAGATTATATAGACTTATTGAATGGTTTATTTATTATAATTTCTTTAACTGAAAGGATGAATGGGAATTCATAGTGCAATATATGTTATAATTCTTTTTTATTTGATTCTAATTAACAAATCATCATTGAATGAATTAATTATTTTATATATTTTTGTTTGCTTTTTAAATGATTTATTATTTATTATTTAAATATTTTTTTAATAATAATTTGTGAAACGACTTCATTTTTGTGATATTCAGAATTCATATTATCCCTTTTAATCCCAAATAATTTGAAAATATTTGAATTATTTATTTCTTATATTTTTATGATAACAGCAGTGTTAGTAAAGCTAAAACGAATATAAACAATTCTTCATTTAAATGACATTTGTAAGTTTGATTAATAGTGAATTTTAGAGTGAAATATCTGGATTTTTGTTTTAAATGTTTTTATGTATCTCAAACATAATTCGACATTTTCCTGTCAATTTATTTTAAATATTGCAGAAGATAGTAATATACTAAAGATAGAATTTATTTAGTTGTACAATATTTATTTATTATTATTGAAAGATCAATTAATTTTTCTTGCAGTATTATTTTGTTTATTCAAGTGGTTGTATATAAAATACTTGAGAGAATCAGTGGATTCTTTTTTCATAGCATCTATTCCGTAGGTATTCAGACACAGGGTAACAAGTCATATCACAATATGTTTTGAGTGATAAATATGATTATTATTTTATTGCAAATACATGTGTATATAATTCATATGTATTTATAATAAATAAAGAATGCTGAACAATTTTTAAGTTGATAAATTAATAAAATCTTTCGAAAATTTGAAGCAATAACAGAAGTATGAAAGTCAATTATTTATGATCTGAATGCAATTAATTATTTGATCCAATTATAATTTTAAAATGGAAAGATTGTTCTTGATAGTCACAATAAAATGATACGTTGTTTAGTCAGTTTAATATTTTTTTATTGATTACTTTTAAAAATTAATTGGAAATATTTTATCAATTCAATTATTATCGGAAAAATTATTAGGAAAAGAAATCTTTACTCGAATGATCATTTTTCTAGGAAAAAAAAATCAATATCTACAGTATTTATTTAATATTATATTTTTAAATTTGTTTATCAATTAAAATTTGGAAGACATTTAAAAATGAATTAAAATGCACCCACAATTGTGGACAAATAATTGTTTTGTAATATATAGGTATATATTTCTTGTAATTAAATTAATAAAATAGTTCCAAATGTTTTGTGAAAAAAAATAGAGAATTAAAATAGTATTATTGCAAAAGAGAAAGTGTGTGATAGTTTGATTTTTTGTATGAAGGATGAAAGAAGAATAATAATAATATCAATTATAAATAAACATTAAATTATATACATTTAATTTAAATGTTTATACAGATTAAATTAATTGAAATAAATAAATGAAATGTACACATATACACACGTACACTCGCAAACCAAAGCCAAACGAATTGTTGAATGTTCGGGTCTTCCTCGTGAACAATTTCAACATAAATGATTTATTAAAATTCATTACAACTATAATTCTATTATAATAAAAAAGGTAATGGCTATCAAATTGTTGGCGAGTAAATCTCGGACATAAGCGATGTATAAGAATGTAACGAAGACATATCATAAATAAAGAAATAAATATTAGATAAATTGCCTGAAGATAGTAGGATTTGTGTGAACACATTGCGTGCAAAAATTTAATTTTATCAAAAATTAGAAAAAATAAATAGAATTCAAAGTTGGAGTGGAATATAAAAATAATAAAATAAATCTACTCAGATTTGTACATATTCGGCTAATGTAAATGTACTTATTGTAAATTGTTATGTAAAGAAAACTTTAAAAAAAAAAAAAAAAAAAAAAAAATTTTCAAAAAAAGTAATTAATAAAAATTCTTTTGGTCAACAGCAATTTTAACATTGCTCTTTTACTAGTTAAAATTTATCTTAATTGGGCTTTAAAATATTTATAAAGCTACCGAAAGTCTTGAAAAATTATATTTGATTGCTAAAGAAAGTTATTAAAAAAAAAAAAATAAATAATAACTATCTTTTACAATCAAATTCACGTGGACAGTAAATATCTCGTTGCAATTTCGGTGAATAATTGATGAGAAAAAAAGTTTATAATAACAAAACTGCACGCAATGTTAAGAAAAGGGGGAAAAATTATATAAAAAGAGTGTGAAGAAATTTTAAAAAATGTATGAGTGAATTTTTGTCGCCCCCCACCCCCTTTTTATTGTACATATCATGTGCCATAACTCATTTACCATAAACTTCGTGTCCAACTTTGTTCCAAATACCTACTCAATTATAAATAATATATAGTATAATAAAATGAATCTCGATGTTATTGATAAAAAATTAACAATATTGTTATTAATTAATTATTCCAAATTCCTTAGTATTATTTATCGTTTTTAATTACTCATCATTATTTTTTAATATAAATAGATATCTCATAATTATACATGTGCTAACACTACCTATTTATTCTCTTATGTTCAAACAAAATCACCACTCGAACGTGATTATGTAGCGTGCAGTTTCACTATCAATTCTTTATACACAATTATAAATTGATAAAGTGGTCACGAATCCAGAGATACTCGGATTATCTATAGGCTTAGAACATTGCAAATACCATATGACTTTTGCATAAAAAATAAAATAAATATAATCATATCACGTTTATGTGTCGTTCTAACGTACAATGTATCTGATATACTGCACGAACGATTCTTTCACTATTTCAGACGAGTATATTTTTTTTAAAACTTTTCAAATGCCTATAATTTTCTGTAATATTGCATCAGTTTAGATCAGTATTTTATGAAACATAATAATACAAATCTTTAAATTTATTCAAAAAAATTTAATTTTATTTTAGGAATCAATTAAAATAATTTTTAGTCTATAAATTATTATTATTAATAATAATTTTTTCTTGAGGGAAACTCTTTTGTCATTGAAAAAAAATTATTGGATCAAAAAATATAAATCCTTGACTTTGTAAGGATGAAGAGAGGACATTCAAAAATCACATCGTAAGTATGAAATATAGATTTGTTGATTGTACGTAAGAAAGAAATTTGTATCTATTGATATAGACATTTTTTAGAAACTATTTCAATCAATCATTAAAAAATAATTAATTACATTATATGGCAATGAAAATCTAAATCTCAAGTTCATTTAAATACAAAAAAATTTAGCTAAAAATAAATAATTAAAGATTTATTGATTGTCAGAAAGAAAGAGATATTTGTTGTAGTAAAAAAAAAATTAATTAAAAATTTATAACGGCAAATAATAATTCAAAACAAAAATAATAAAAGAAATAAAAAGAAACTTTTGATTTTTTTGTACTTTAACGACTTTAGTATAAACATTGACTGTTATTATATACTATCCAATCATCAAATAAAAGCTGGTAGTTGATACTATAAAGAGAAGGCAGGAGCAGTGGTAATCAGTAGCTCGCGGGTAATTGGCGCGGCATGTAAACAACTATTGAGACTCGAGGATTTGTTTGTTCATGCAGAACGGCCCGTAAGGACCAAAGTCCTGTGAGTATGTTCGATAAATGGATGCGTGACATGACACACGGATACGTACATACAGAAGTTAGAGGAGAAAGAGGTAAAGTAAAGGGAGTACTTCAAACACAAGGATAGTAGCATATTCGAGTGAGGTACTAGGAACAAATGTATACACATGTATAGACTTGGCTTGACAGGAACGAGGGAACATGTGGCAAGCGACGAGGTTGCTTTTGTGTTACAAATCTTGTTTGCCTTATCGTTCCACTTTCGACGGGTGTTCTCTTATAATGTGTTACACAATTGCCTCAGGATAATTGTCGCTGAAACGTGAACTTTGTATTGCTACTTGTGATTGATTTAATTAAAATTTCTTTTACTTTTTCTACAGATTTTCATATTTATTTTGCTTCAAAGAAGTTAGTAATCGAGTTTTCTCAACACGGGGGACTCTGTTAATTTCTTTTTTTATTCTTAAAAGTCAATAAGATTTAGGAAAAAGTATAAACTTGAAAGAATACATAAAAAAAAAAATTTTTTTTTAACATTTCTTTAGTTGATTTTTTCATGATATTACTTATTTTAATTATTTTAAACATTAAAAGATCAAAGTAATGTATTTTTTAAATTCATTACTATGTTAATTAGCTCATTAAATTAGAATATATAATTTTCAACTTATCTATGAGTTATAATAAATTAATTGAATATTTAAATATAATCCATATTATTGTGGTAATTTTGTTATTATCAAATAACTGTTAAAAATAACTAACGGAATAATAGAGAT